GTCCAGAAGACCTATACAATTTTTTTCCTTTTGATTTTTTACCTGGATTACTGAGATGCATCAGGACAACCAACTCATAGAATTTCAATAATTTCAACTGACAAAATAATGTATTTGATGAGTAATCAGGATGTTTTATAATGATAATTCTTATAGCTCTTTTCTGCAAAATTAAAACAGGATTTGTGATTGTTTTACAYGCTGTCCCCCAGACTTCAACACAGTAAACCAAATTTAAATAAAAAAAAAAGTGTGTGTTTTGCAGTTTTATCAGGATGCTTTTCATGCCCACCTGCATTTGTAAGCCCCCTCAGAGGTGAGTTTGTTGCAGGTGCTGCAGTTCGGGGTGTAGCCAAGCGATCCATTCGAGGTGGAGGGGCCCGGCACCGGCTCCACGGGACCTCCACAAGCACCGCTGAGCTCCTGGAGCCCATCGGAGGATTTGTGGGTACAGCACTGTCCGGAGAAGTCGTTGCACATCCTTTCCACTACCTCCTTCACAACTTCATCCTTAAACTACGATAAAAAGAGACGTTTTAGTGGAAGATTTTTAAGTTTTACTCAATTCATTTACTATTATTTACCTTTTCCATGTACGATCTAAACCACATGGGAGGAGGCTCATCTTCAGGTTTGTTCCCCTTGTTGTCTTTAACTGGTACCTATAAAAAAGAGAGAGAATATAAAAAATATATATTTTTTATTTCTACCCAAGGTAGAAATAGAAATGTGTAAGAGGGAAAGAAAAACATTTATTTTTCTTACAGTTTCACGCTCTGGAGTGACCTGAGTGCCTTTGTCTACGGTTTTGACCCGTGACGGGTAAGGAGGAGCAGGTCGCAGGTCTCCTTTCAGCTCCTTCACCTCCGTTTTCAGTGGGCCTCCACAGGCCTGACCCTTCATCTTGTACACGTTCATGTGTAACTGGTTCCCCTGCTTTTCTGCACTCTGCGTAGAATAATTACCAGCAAACACAAAGCATAAGTGAAAAGGCCAAGATTGTATGAAAAAGGCAAGTTTGTCTTATTAGATATACAGTATCTTTGAAAAAAATGGCTCTTGTACCTTGATGGCTTCTTCATACTCATCTGTAAAAGCAAACAACAAATAAATACACGTAAACCTGTCTTTGGTAAGACATGCACAAAATAAATTAAACTATTTTTTTATTTTTTATTTTACCTTGACTGTTTATGCAAATCTGAAACAAAGGTGAAAAGACCAAGATTAATAACCTGACTCAGCAAAAATGACCTCATCTGGAAAATACTATTTTACTGATACTTGAGGTTTTCTTTAAATTGCCATATTTCTTTAAAAAAAACTAATCTTTGTAATTTTTTACTTTTTTTCCCTAACTCTACAATGTTTATCTGCTAGCTTTGGTCACAAGGCACTGTATAAATTTAGATACAAAGGACAGCGGGTTAGACAAACATTTCTTGAATTGATCTGAGCACCTGATTACAGTGTAGATGCATCAGGACGATTACACCCAGGGTTTTGACGTCAGAGTTGCTCAACTAAAATCAACTTGAACCAACCATAAGATTTGATTAAATATCTTTTTAATTAATTAATTAGTTGTGACAATCTGATAATTTATGATGAAAAGCATGAGTGTGAATTTGATTTACTATTCTAAACACTTCTTTTTTAATTTCATGCAATGAAAAATACAAATGTATTACTGATCAGACACATTTTGTTTGCTATTTTACCTCTTCGTTGTCTTCATCAAAATATTTCACTTGAAAGTGGTTGATCCCAAAAGATGCTTTAATCTGAAATGTAAAAACGAAAGTTTAGATTAAACCAGAGCTAGCAGTTTCGTAATGAGTCAATCATTTACTCACTGACTAAAAAACATTAAGGCCTCAGAAATACATCGTTATGTATGAAAACAGGAAGTGATGCTAAATCAATTTAAGCTAATTTAACTTCCAGTGACTGTTAATTATGGCCACTTTCGTACACATTCCGTTGACAGTATCGATGGTCTTTCGGGTTTTCAGCTGTAGGCCGTGTCTGGGCCTGCTCCTCAAACTGCGCCAGCTTAGCGCTAGCAACTCACCCAGGCTTCAACGGACTCCCACTCCAATTTGTCCAAGTCCTGAGCCAGAAACCTCTTCACGTTGCCACGGAAATTTACTTTAATAGTCACAGGGAGCCCCATGTCGGCCTTCCTACGCGTATTTAATGGCTACCATTTGCGGTGACCGCGGGCCTGTTTGATCCCCGTTGCCCTCGACTGCCTTTTCTTGTTTACATCGCCAGCTGCGTCGAGGAAAAATACGATGACGTTTCCGCGCAGGCGCAGTCGCGGTCACGTCCGTCGCGCTCTGTTGTCGTCATCTTTGAGCTAACGCGAAGTGTGGCTGAAGCCTGGAAGGAGCCACACGTTTGGAGGAGAATTTGATGCTGGTGGGACAATCTTTGCTGACTTTTCTGAGCCCGGAAGATGTCTTCACTCCTCAAGGTGGACAATGAAATTAAAACCAAGGTGGGATTTGTTTCCGCGGAAGCATCAGTCAGGGATTTATTAGGGTGTTGTTGTTGCTTGTTAGCGTGTTAGCCACATTTTTAGCATGATGTGAGCCAGATTGATAGCAGCTAACAGCGGCTAACCGGCTTATTTCCCGCCTGCTACAGTACACATGTGAACCTTTTACACAGGTGCTGGTTGACGTTAAGCTCCAGGGGAATGAAGTGCAGCTTTTATTACAGCTGTTCTGTGTACTCATAAGAGAAACTGCTGGAAAAAGCACAAGCAGAGTAATGAAGGCCTTGGGGAGCTAACTCAGCGTTAACTCAGCTCAGTTTTGATTGCTTGTGTTGAAATGTACCCCTACAAATGCAAACATTTAGCATTTTTAAAGAAAATGCTAAACTAATTTTCTACAGGTTTCTGAATTTATCAGCGTATTTGTTGCATATCCACTATATTATACTACATAGTGTTTTTCTTTTTCCTCTTCTGGAAATGAGGTCACTATATTCATACGAATGTGAATGACAGGAACCGACTAAATTCTGATCATAAAATATTTTTTGACTGGGCGAACAAGTTTTACATGTAATTCTTGTAAAATTACCATGAAACAGATCACTGTTCAGAAAAACCTTTTGCTTGTCAGTAAAACTTATTCATTTAACTGAACGCGGGGGAAAAGGGCAAAACTCCCACATTCAAAGTATACACAGTACAACACAGTACAAACTTTATAAATGATGAAACATCAAACTGGCTCAGACATCAACAGAAAACTGTTTATTCTTTAGTTATTTTGTTGTGTTTTTCCCACCTTATCTGTCCGAAGTCAGCCCCGTCCACTCCCTCAGTGTCAGATCTCTAACTTATCAGAGGCTTTAATGTCTTTAAAATGTCCAGTAGAAATGTAAACATCTTGTGCTGTATTTAACTCATCAAGTTGGTTCTTTAAGTAAAATAAATTCAAATCTTTCCTCTGCTCCTATGCCAGACTTCCTGTTTGTGTAAACAGAACCCATGAGCTCATTATTAACAGCAGTTTCTGTAGATGTGCTTTAGTTTCTTCAGTTTGGTTGTTAATGTTAGACGTCATGAACACGAAGCCAAGAATAAAATCCGCTTCAGTTCTTAAACCCTATCAGGTCAGGAGAAAAGGAACTGTTTTGTTTGTAAAACAGATTCTCACCTGAAATATTTTTCTTTTCTGATAAAATACAAAGCAATATTTTGTTGAATTTTCAAACTGAGAGGGCATCTTTGAGCTTTACATTTACTTGAGCTGGGCCACGAGTTTGTCAGATAATTATAAAGTTTAGGAATAAGGTTATTTATACGACATCCAGTCAAATCTGTCTTTGTTTGCTTCATCTGGTCTAATATATTTCTGTTGTTCGTTGTGTTTGTTTGCAGGTGGATGCTTTCAGGGAACGTATCACAGCAGAAGTAAGTGACATTCCTGAGGAGAGCTCATCATCTCTGTGGTTTTAGTCTCTGCTATAAACTTTCCTTTCTTCCAGGCAGAGGATCTAGTCGCCAATTTTTTCCCCAAGAAGTTACTGGAACTGGATCAGTTTCTCAAGGTCAGTTTTTGCTTATTTCATGTCTACATTTACAGAAAGACAATCGAGTCTGGAATATTTAAAGCGCCGTGGCTTTACAGTTCTGTATGTCTGTTTTTTTAATATGGTGTGTGTTTGGATCTTATTAATAAAAAAGATTCAAAATACTGTGATGCTCTGACAGAGCACAGTTTAAAGTCAGGAGGATCTTGTGTTTTACACTTTCTGAAGGACCTGGAAACCTCAAACCAAATGTCGGTCTTAGAGTCCAGTTTTTGTGTTTTCTTTAAAATAATTTAAATAAAAGACTCTTTAAGACAACACAACTCATCCAGTCATATTATGTAGTAGGGATGTCCCGATGTGCCTTCTCTGGGTCAGGGGGGTCGCCCTGCCTCAAGTGGAGGAGTTTAAGTATCTGGGGAT